GGTGTAGGATTCAGGGCTGTTTGTTTTCGGAGCTCTTTCAATCTCTGGACTGCCATGTCATTCGGCTTTGAAAGAGACTACCCACCGACTTCGTGGAGGCCCCTTTACCCACAACATTTTATAGTCCGGGCCTCATCTTGAACCCGACAACCTAAAACTGCTGTCCAAGGCTTCGGGTTCGAAAGCCCAAAAATCCGAGATGGTTGAAACCCAGTTGTGAGTAGGCTGCCGTATCCGACAGACAAATCAAAGCACCGCAAGGCGCAAGACAGCAACCCCATAGCTTCGAAGTCCCACTACCCTCAACCTAAACCCTAAAACCTTAAACCCTAAACTCAAGGCCTAGGCCGCCCCCTACAGAGGAGGGGGGGGGGCTTAAGCCCTTCGACCTCTATGGCGCAGGTCGACCCAGGTCGCTTGCCCGCCTCCTGCAGCCCGGAGGTCGGTGAGCAGGTTTTCTCCGGACCAGTACTGGTCCCCTTAATAAGGTAAATACCCTAAACCCCAAGCCCTTCACCACAAAAAGCGCTGGCCTTTCGGGGGCCTGGGCCCCCGGACTTTGCTGGGCCCCTGTAACCTGAACCCTCCTGTTCCGCGCTGCCTGGCCCGCTGTGCCTCCCTGCACCTTCTGGGCTTTCTGGCCCTTTGGTTTTTTGGCCGACCCCCTGACCCCCCTTAAACCCCTGCCCTTCCTGGTTGCCTGAGCCCCTTTGGACCCCCCTAGGGCCCCCTGCACCTTCCTTGCACCCTCGCCTTTGTGAATGAAGAAGTTGTAAGGAAAGTAAGCAGTTGGCTTGAGTTTAAGCCTAAACCCTAAAAGGAATAGGTTTGGGTGGCTTTGCTGCCTCCGACGGCGTGGGGTGGGAGAAAAGTGTTAGATGGCCTTCCACAATCGGGCCAAAGCTGCTCTTCACGCCTCACGAAGCTTTCGAGCTTGTCCAAAGCCTAACCTTCACAGCATCTGCGCCCAATCACAGCAAACCCTAAACCCTAAACCCTGCACCCTGAACCCTACACCCTGCTGGCCTGGTCCATGGGGCGTCGGTGGCCTGCAGCATCGTGGCCACCTGCCAGAGAGCGAAAGCACCCCCCGCTTCACGGAAAAGCACCGCTTGCTTAATTAGGGTCTTCCGGGCCTGGGGCTTAGGGCTTAGGGTTAGGGCTTACTTAGGCCTGAAGGGTCCCTGAAGGGCGCAGGAATTGAAGTTCTGGGGCGAAGCTCTTGCGCCGAAATGCTGGCTCGCTTGCTTCCAGGTGCTTGGGGACTCACTTGCCGGTTTGTTGGTGCTGCGCTGTGGCTTGGCAAAGTGATGTCATTTTTCGAGTGGAGGACCTTCGCGGGACGAGCTGCGTTGGATGAGGCTATCGCGAGGATGGCAAGCTGTATGCCTGCCCAGCCGAGCAGTACTCTGCTCGGTTGGTGTAGGTGGCAGGCTTGCCTAGTGACTGCTTCTAACATGCCCTCTTGCTTGACTGGGCCGTTTTTTCGTTCGTCTCGGCGTGTTTGTTGCGTCTTTGCTTTGTTTGTCGTGTCGCTTGCTGGGGCTGACACTTTAAGCCTTCCGGCCGGAGGTGTCGCCATCTTGTTAGGCCAGGTACGTGCTTCCAGCCGGCACGTGCCTCGATCGACTCACTCACTCGCTCACCCAAGACCCAAACCTAAACCTTGAACCCTCCAGACCACTGCAAGCCGAGATGTCAAGGTGCATCCTCGCCTGGCTTGGTGCGGGTCTGCAAGTCGAAGCATTCCTGCCGGTTGCCGGTCCAGTACCTGTCGCTGGCTGAATTGAAGGCGTCGGGACTTACGAACAAAGCGGAACTTTAAACCCTGAAAGCTCCTTAGAGGACAAGTGCCAATACAGCCCGCAGCCCCCAAGTTCGAAACATACCTTGAAACCCGAAGATCCCCACACTCTTGGAAACTCTACAGCCCCCTGAACCCCCAAGCCCAAAACCCTACTGAATCCCAAAGCCGAAAGCTGCCTAAACACCTTCGACGTGTATACTGAATTAAACCCTTGTGACTCCCATATCCCAAGGCCATTCCCAAAGAGCTCAATATCCCTTAATTTTTAGGAATATTCTTAAATCATATTAAGGATCCCGAATATTCCTTAAGCAATATTGGGCTCTTTGGGCTCTTCCCCTGAGCCAAGGGCCGACGAGGGCCAAGGTTGGACCAGGCTGGATCTGTCTCAGATCCTGCGATTCAAAGCCATCTCAAAGCCATCTCAGGCAAAGCTCCCGAGCCCTCAAACGATGCAGAGCGCACTGCACGTCGTGGTGTGGGCATTTCATATGCGGCAGAGTGCTTATGACGTGCAGTGTATGAGCTGCGTACCCAGCCTTGGGGGCGGCCAGCAGGTCCTCACACAAAACCAAGCTCTATGGGGCGCCACGCTCCGCCCGGTAGTGCGTCCGGACTTTGGGTTGCTTGATGTTGCTTGGCGAGGGTCTGAAACGAAAGGGTTGCATTGCATGCCAAGAACAATTAAAAAAACCTGTGGTTTTGAGGCTTTGGTCTTTCTTTCAGGCCTGCCATACCGTCGTTCGAAGGCTGCAGTTTCTTAACTTGAAAAGAGCAGCGCCGCCGGAACTACAGAAGCACCAAGACATCACTGTTCAATGAAACTGGCGCACTATACCTTTGGTCTTTGCTTCAACTCAGGCCCTACACCTCACAACCGGCACGGATGTCAGACACCTCCCGAAATTCCCGAAGCCCAAGCTCGCAAATCCTGGAGGCCCAGAACTGCCTGACATCAAACGCCTCTCAAAAACTGAGCAGCGGAAGCCCGAAATCCTAAACTCTGGGATCAGGGAGGGAAGGGCCGCCCCAAAGCATCCTTCAGAAAGTCAAACGGCAACGTTGCATGGGCGTGTTCCTGGCAGAGGAGGTGGGAGTCCGCAAAACAGCTGGGGCGCAACCGTGTGAAACATCCTTCAAGTTCAGGGAAAAGCCACCTAGGGCTAAAATACCTGTGTCTACGTCGAGGGCTATGTCTGGAAGGGTCGTCGTAGCTCTTCGCAGCCATTCAGACATTCATCTCATGTTGTTCTTAGTCATTTCAATTACACTGCTCATGTCATTCGCCACCTGCTTCATCATCAGAACAGTCACCATGTCATGATTGAAACAATCCAAAACCCGTGATAGTCAATGTAACCACAGCAATTAGTCAGAAAAAAAGACAAAGGGTATTGCGTCCAATTATCCATTGTCAGCATGATGGTCATTTCTCAAAATGCTATTCATCCAAAATGTGTCGCTGAATGCGTGAAAGGGGGGGGCTCATTTCCAAGATAACGAAGAGCCTCCCATACAGGAGATGGACAATAGCATATTCACATCCACGTTTCACAACCGCCAAACATCCTGAACACTCAGAAACCTTGACATGTTGCAAGGCTGTAACATGGCAGAGACGCCCTTGAATCCCTTGAACGTCGAAGCCCTCAGACACTAGCGGCATCCCACCCCCACCTGGACTAAAGCTTTGCCAGCACCTCCAAATATCTCCAGCTTGCGAAAAACAAACCTCTGTACACGAAGCCCTGAAACCAGCAACGAGCTGAGCAACCCGAACTCCTAAACCCCAACAGGCCTGCAGACGCTGCCAGGTCTGCTAGTGGCCTTGGACTTCTCGAGGTTGACCAAGTCCGGCTGCTCCGGACTCAGCCCCTGGCAGGGTCCACTTCTTGCAGACGCTTATAGAATAGAATAGGGGTTGCTTGCGTGTCCGCGAAGGTCTGACAATTAGTGGACTTGCGTGGAGCGGGAGAGGGCGTGCGCTCCGAAAGCGACATGCTGACCACGGTACGCTTGACGTTCGCTTCGCGTGCGCTTTAGGCACGCCCGTGCCTGTAGCACTCCAACGGCCGCCGAGAAGCGCTCCACTTGCAGCCGCAAGGCATCCTGCACTCTCCCCGAACTCGTGTGTTTCTGTACCTACTACATCCTACAACTCTGCACCCCTTGTTTATGTAAGCATTGAGGAGCATGGAGATGCACAGCCTTGAACATTGAGCCCGCAAGGGAACGCAGGCAAAACCTACGGAAGCGGAGGATCGAAGAGGATTCGATGCCCCGGTGCCTCACGTTTCTTTGACTCTGCCAGATGCCATGCCATTTGGGTCACGGCCTTGGGAGTTCTGCTGCGCCGAATTCAAGAAAGCTGCCCCTGAAGATGCTTGGAGTAATCTCTCAATAAACTCGGGTCTCTCAGTCTTTGACTTCTGCCATGCCAATGGTACCTGCATTAAACTAAGACCTCAGCAAGATCGTCAAGTTCATGTCGTGCGCGAGCCGCCTCTCGTGCTCCGGTCACTGGAGACGCCAATGCGAAACAGAATCAGCACCCTCAAGCACTCCGTTGCTGCTCCATGTTCTTGACAAGGACCGAACCTGCAAGTCGTACTGGAGCTTGGTCACCTGCTCCAGGACAGACATAATCAGTCGAAGCCTTTTCGAAAGCCGCGCCTGCTCGCGAAGACTTGTTCTTTCAGCCTTCGCAGCGGACACTCGACAGGCAGGATAAGTTTTTCATGATAAGTTGAGACACAACGCCTGCACGTCCTGTTGCAAAAACACTCTGACGCAGCCTCTGCACTGGAAGCCTCTCCTTTTTCGAGAGGCTGCTTGCGGTTTCGCAGGTCCTTGAGTTGCTCCATCACCTCGTCAGTCGAACACTGAGATATGCATTCTGGCACTTGCTGCAACTCAGGGTGTGACGCAAAGCGGAGCAACCAACATCTACTCACTACAGAAAACAAATGAGCACCATCGCAGCAACACCCCCAGGCCTTGGCGGTGGAGCTGTCTCGCCGTGCTGAGAAACCGCTCCGATCCACCTCCCATCCACCCGCCGGCGACGGGGGGACAGGAACCGTTCTTGGCAAGTCAGGGCCGCGATGCCTTTGCTGCAATCCTAGACGATGGGTCTGTGGTGACCTGGGGCCATGCCCTGCGTGGTGGTGACAGCAGTGCCGTGCAAGACCAGCTAAAGAACGTGCACAACATCCAGGCTTCTGCCTTTGCTTTTGCTGCAGTTCTTGGCGATGGATCTGTAGTGACTTGGGGTGAGGGGTCCCCCCGCCGCCGGCGGGCGACCGGGAGGTGGCAACAACGCCCGGTAACGCTCTGCCTCAGTAGCCAAGATTGAACTCGACTTGCAGAGCCTCAACCCTGAACCCCTAGCCCCAAACCCTCGAGCTCTCTGCATTTCCATCTTCTCCCAGCACGGCAAGATCAAGGTACAAGTAGTTTGTGGATTGTGTGGTTCGCTGCGAAGATGCACCTCAGGATAAACAGACAGAAAAGTTCGTAAGAGCAGAGAAGAGGCCTAGACACAACTGCGGACTTGCTGCGCTCCAAGTCATTCTTCCTTGCTCCCGAACCGAAATCCCTAGTCAAGGTGAGAACACCAAAGATTCAAGATCGATGTTACCAAGAGATTCCCCCATTGAGGCACGAGCTCTGTGGACAGCCCTGTTGGACCTTCAGCGCAGCCGCTGCTAGGCGGGACAGAACCTCAACCACGCTGCGCTTGCATTCCTTGCATGCTGCTCGATGCGCTTTATGCGGCCTACGCGAAGTCATCATTCCATATCCGGATATGTACACTGCAAGTAAGGCAAGCACAACTCCAGGAAGGCCCGTTAGGCCTGTTGGGAACGGAAGGGTTGCTCTCTTCGTCCTCTTCTTGCCCCATCTGTCAGCATCTGTCAGCATCTGTCAACTGCTCTTGTCCATGTTCCATGCCTTGAGGAGCCGCCACCGACAGCAAGGGAAAGCGCACCATCTGAAGCAGCGCCTGCTCAGCCGTGTTGCCACATGTTGCCCACGGGAAGGAGAGCCCCAAAGGCAAGAGCTTGGGCTAAGGGAGCCGGCACGGCACCGCCACCAATTCGTCACTGCGCAATATTCTGAGAGCGAACTTGCCGAGAGACAGCGATCTGTCCAGCTTGCTTGGCTATCGAACTATTTAGCAAACGATTTCTGTATGGTCCGTAGCTCGTTTCACCCTGTCGGGTTGAAGCCACGTGCAACAACACTTGGAGCTCTTAAGCAGCTGATCTGCTTAATCGCTGCGCGCCTTCCTCCATGAGACACCACCCCTCGAACTCTTGATGGCGGAAATATCTTTCAGAGAGAGTCAACTTGCGATGACACGGTCGCTGTGAGTCTGTGATGAGTGTTCGCTGAAGACTGCAGGACCTGCAGGGTTTTGATCTCGCATGCCTTAACTAGATGCTGCAGAGTAAACGGGAGAGGGAGCATGGAATGAGCAAGCTTTCAGCGTTTCGATATAAAAATACTTTAGCCGAGCTGGAACCCCTGTCCGCCGGAGGCGCCGGCCCGAAAAGCTGGATAACTTTTTTGCTCAAAGGTTCGTTATAAAAACAATATCCGAACTGGCGTCCCTGTCCGGCGGAGGCGCCGGCCCGAAAATCTGGAAAAATCTTTTTCTCGAAAGTTCGTTATTTAAAAAATATCCGAACTGGCGTCCCTGTCCGCCGGAGGCGCCGGCCCGAAAATCTGGATAACTTCTTTTTCTCAAAAGTTCGCTATATAAAAAATGTTATCCAAAATTGGCGAGAATCGCACGTCCAATTTTCGTTGTTTTTTCATGGTCTCGGCTGGAAAAAGAAGGCTTTTGGGACGTGCGTTTTGCTAAGGCACGTCCCAAAAACCTTCTTTTCCGGCCGAGACCATGAAAAAAAAAACATTTGGACGCGCGAGTTTCGCCAATTTGCATATTTTTTATAACGAACCTTCCGGCGGACAGGGACGCCAGTTCCGATATTTTTTTTAGCGAACCTTTGAGAAAAAAACTTTCCAGATTTCCGGGCCGGCGCCTCCGGCGGACAGGGACGCCATAATTATATGTTTTAACGAACCATTGAGAGAAAAGAAGTTATCCAGATTTTCGGGCCGGCGCCTCCGGCGGACAGGGACGCCAGTTCGGATATTTTGAATCACGAACCTTCGAGAGAAAGAAAGGTTTTCCACATTGTCGGGCCGGCGCCTCCGCCGGACAGGGACGTCAGTTCGGTGTTTTTAAGAACGAACCTTTGAAAACAAAAAAGTTCCAGGTGTTCGGGCCGGCGCCGCGCCAGTTCGGATAAAATAGTTTCACAACGAACCTTTGAGACAGGGGCGCCAGTTCGGGTAAAATAATTGTATAACGAACCATGAAATACATCCAGATTTTTGGGCCGGCCCCTCCGCCGGACAGGGGCGCCAGCTCGGATAAAATCATTTTCTAGCCAACCTTCGAGAAAAAAAACTAGCCAGGTTTTTGCGCCGGCACCTCCGCCGGACAGGGACGCCAGTTCGGATAAATTATGCCGACGAAGACCCCAAACAGTAACATTGTAGAGAAAGGGAGAACGCGTGAAACAACAACGCGACATAACATTTGACAGGCGTTTAGAATTACCCGAAACTTCAGCGCCGGCCCCTTAATCGGTGAGTCATGCAGCACCATGAGTCAAAACCCAAAGGCATAGACATGACTCGTGCCTTTCTTGGTCCGAATAAAATGGAACTGTTCCTAACCTTTGCACTTTCAGAACAAAATGAAAGCATATGATTAGAGGTTTGTCGTATGTCCCCTCCTTCGTGCTCGTAAGGTTTGGTGACGGCATGTGAAGGCCCTATAAGCTTGTCGCATGTCCCCTCCCCTCGTGCTTGTAGGGTGAAGACCCTTCGGGGTTAGGCCTGAAAGCCCTAGAACCATAACGTGCTTGAAGGGCCTGCGTGCAAGGTTTGAAGGTGAGAAGACTGAGCGTTTTCAACTAGCATCCTGTTTTTTGGAGACCGACCGTACTCAAATAGCACCCAAGTTTTGGGGACCGAGCGTGTTCAACTAGCATCCTGCTTTTTGGTGACCGAGCGTACGCAAACAGCACCCAAGCTTTGGGGACGGCATTTTCAGAACACTGTAGAAGTAAAAACATATCCCTTCGAGGTTTGTCGTATGTGCCCTCCCTTTGTGCTCGTAGGGTCTGGTGAGGGCCCTAGAAGTTTGTCGCATATTCCCTCCCTTCGTGCTCGTAGGGTGACGTACACCGCTTCTGCACCCTGATGACCAAATAGCTCGCGCCGTGGCGCGAGCTGTTTGGTCACAGGGAAACAGAAAAACACGGATGTTTTTGCACTGGCACACCCTATGGGGCCACATAAACCACCATTTTTTAGGGGCTGCGAAACCTTTTCGCAAAGCTAGAAAAGTTAGGTAAAAACCCTGCTTTCTCTGCGAGAAGGCTGTATACAAGCGCAAAGAACTATGCTTTTCCTAACCTTTGCACTTTCAGAACACCGTAGAAGCAAAAACATATCCCTTAAAGTCTTGTCGTATGCCCTTCGTTCTAAGGTTTGGTGAGGGCCCTAGAAGTTTGTCGCATGCCCACTCCCTTCGTGCTCGGACGGAGAGGGCCCCTAGAGGTTAGGCCGGAAAGCCCTAGAACCATAAAGTGCTTGAAGGGCCCTGCGTGCGAGGTTTGAAGGTTTCAGAAAGGCGTCTTGGCTTGTCCCTGTGTGTGCGAAAAGACTGAGCGTGTTCAACTAGCATCCTGCTTTTTGGGGACCGACCCCAAGTTTGGGGACCGACCGTGCTCGACTAGCATCCTGCTTTCTGAGGGCCGAGCGTACTCAAACAGCACCCAAGCTTTGGGATTCAGAACACTGTAGAAGTAAAAACAGATCCCTTCGAGGTTTGTCGTATGTGCCCTCCCTTTGTGCTCGTAGGGTCTGGTGAGGGCCCTAGAAGTTTGTCGCATGTTCCCTCCCTTCGTGCTCGTAGGGTGACGTACACCTCTTCTGCACCCTGATGACCAAATAGCTCGCGCCGTGGCGCGAGCTGTTTGGTCACAGGGAAGCAGAAAAACATAGGATGTTTTTGCGCTGGCACACCCTATGGGGCCACACAAACCACCATTTTTTAGGGGCTGCGAAACCTTTTCGCAAAGCTAGAAAAGTTAGGTAAAAACCCTGCTTTCTCTGCGAGAAGGCTGTATACAAGCGCAAAGAACTATGCTTTTCCTAACCTTTGCACTTTCAGAACACCGTAGAAGCAAAAACATATCCCTTAAAGTCTTGTCGCATGCCCTTCGTGCTAAGGTTTGGTGAGGGCCCTAGAAGTTTGTCGCATGCCCACTCCCTTCGTGCTCGGACGGAGAGGGCCCCTAGAGGTTAGGCCGGAAAGCCCTAGAACCATGAAGTGCTTGAAGGGCCCTGCGTGCGAGGTTTGAAGGTTTCAGAAAGGCGTCTTGGCTTGTCCCTGTGTGTGCGAAAAGACTGAGCGTGTTCAACTAGCATCCTGCTTTTTGGGGACCGACCCCAAGTTTGGGGACCGACCGTGTTCAACTAGCATCCTGCTTTCTGAGGGCCGAGCGTGCTCAAACAGCACCCAAGCTTTGGGATTCAGAACACTGTAGAAGTAAAAACATATCCTTAGAGGTTTGTCGTATGTCCCTCGTAGGTTTTGGCGAGGGCCCTAGATGTTTGTGGCACGTCCCCTCCCTTCGCCTTCGTAGGGTGACATCGTAAGCAGCTAGCACCCCATCTGCGCCCTGATGGCCATGGAGCTCATTGGTTGTAGGGGAAAGACCATGGTGTTTTAACATGTTAAAACACAAGTGTTCAGGGCTGGTCCCAGGGGACCAGCACAGGGATAAACATCTCAGTGCACTTAAACCAGCTCTTTTCGGGAACGTATTTTACTGGTCACAGGCGCATATTCACAACCCTTCTAGAGCCACGATTATGTTACCAGCACAGCTTGTGGACTTCATCGTAAACAACTTTAGCACCCCATCTGCGCCCTGATGACCAAACACTAGCTCGTGCCAGAGACCCCCATCTCCCCCATAATTGCAATGGCCAACTTGCAAGGAGAAGTTTGCCACGCGAGGCTCCGAGGCATGACGGATTTTGCTTCTTTTTAACCTTGGCATTTCCCAAATGCCCGGAAACCAATCCACACACGCTTTCTCGACGTTTTCCGCGGTCGGCGCTTGTGTCTTTGATTGCCAAGAACTAAAAAACCCGGGGTCCGCGCAGGTCCCCGCCCATTATTTACCCAACGCTGTGCGAAAAGGTTCTAGAACATGTCCAAACACCCCAGGCGCGAGCTACTTGATCGCTGGCCTGAGCTATTTGAGCGTACTCACATAGCACCCAAGTCTTGGGGACCGTGCTCAACTAGCATCCTGTTTTTGCCGAGCGTACTCACATAGCACCCAAGTTTTGGGGACCGCACATTCAAAACCCTGTAAAGTAAAAACATGTCCCTTCGAGGTTTGTCGTATGCCCCCCCCCCCCCCCCTGTGTGCTCGTACGGTTTGGTGAGGGCCCTCGAAGTTTGTCGTATGTCCCCACCCTTCGCGCTCGTAGGGCGACGTCGTAAGCAACTAGCACCCCTTTCGCACCCTGATGACCAAATAGCTCGTGCCATGGCGCGAGCTATTTGGTCGCAGGGGATACTTTTACTTTTTAACACGCTAATTTTGAAACACGTTTTCAGGGCTAGTGCTCCGCGCCCGCAAGCCGGTAGCGTAACCGTGGCCTTTTTGCACGCCTGCATTTTAAAACGGCCCCAAAAGCCCGTGCTAGCAACATAATCGTGGCCCCATAACTTGCTTGCACTTTAAAACCGTTAGATTAACACCCTACGAGCACGAAGGGAGGGGACATGCGACAAACTTCTTGGGCCTTCTACCAAAAAACTGAGTCCATCTCGACAACTTTGCCGACGTAGATTCCCCAGACAGTGTAAGACAGTGTAAGACAGTGTAAGACGGTGTAAGACGGTGTAAGACTCCGTAAGATTCCGCAAGATTTCGCCATGCAGAGCATTCAACAAGCATTCAAAGAGCGCATTCCGACAAGACTCCGAGAGCACTCCCACCCTCAACCGGGCTTTTGAGGCCTCAAGTTCCGCCAGGGCCCCAGCGCCACCTGCGGCTTGTGGGTTTAGGGTTTACGGTTTAGCTGCTTTCAACACAACCCCACACAGGATTCTAACCCAAAGAACAACGCCCCTCGTTTGTAGACCATGAGGTTTGGGGTTTGGGCCTGGGGTTGGAGACAGAGCTTGGATAGTTTGCTGAGGGCTCTGCTGTGGCCAAACAGACCATGCGCTTGACCACAGGGCCCACGGTCCTCCCGCAACCGAAGCTCAAACTGTGAAGGCCAGCTTTCTGGGGCTTTCAGGCATGACTGTTTTTAACAACTACTGTAGAAGGGCGTGGCTTCTTGTGCAAAAGCGCCACGCCATGATACGGAAGCATGTGAAGATGAAGTCCTGGGAGCAGTTTCTAGATGGTTGGTTGAAAATGTGGGAGAGCAATGGACTTTATTATCCATCTTATCGGAGTCTGGGCTCAGGGTTCTAGTGGGGAGGCGGCAGGAAGTTTGGATCGAGGCTTCGGTCAGATACACACCGCTTACCAACTAGGTCAACCCACTTCAGTGCTGCATCGGCTGCTGGCTCAGGGACCAGCTACACAACGCGTCCTCGGGTGTTCCAAGTGATGTCGCCTCCGATTTCTCCTGTCAGGATGTTGCGCCGAACTCGCAAAGCAAGAGACTGAGTCTATGACAGTATATGTGGTCAGAGTTCATCGTTTTGCTAGCTCCCGGATCTGGGACCGCCTGTCAAAACCCCCCTTAACAAAAACCAGCCTTTAAATTCAATCCGGCGCCGGCCTTCGTCAAGGTCCCGGTCGATGAGGATCAGGCCCCCGACTGTGAAATCCCTCCAAAAATGTCACACGCAGGTCACACGCCTGCCTCTTTCTTTCTGTGCTCTCAGAAACAGCTGCACTTCTCTCAAGAATCCTCGGCCAGGCCTGGCCAACTCCCAAGACCCGGGCACCCGCCAAATGCAAACCTTGATTTGAGAACATGACGACTCACAAACAAAACATTCTGCCATACATGGGCCATGCTCATCACTCGCGAGGCCTCTAAGCCTTTAAGCCCAGCCCCTCATGCACACGTTCCTCAA